TGAACATAATAAATGTGTTTACATAGAAAAACAATTGAAAAATAGTGCAGTGTATTATAAAAATGCATTCTGTGTGATCCTTAAATGCAGTCAGAATGAGCCTACAATACCTTACAGAAGTCTTGTCGTGGATGCCAGTTGTAAGAGCAACAAATAATAACTTGAGTTCTAGTTGATCATTTGTAAAACTGTCAGAAGGTGGATTTGTCTGATGAATCATCTGTTGAGCTGCATCCCAATCATCACAAATACTGCAGAAGACCTACTGGAACCCACATGGACCCAAGATTCTCACAGAAATCAGTCAAGTTTGGTGAAGGAGACATCATGGTTTAGGGTTACATTCAGTATGGGGGCGTGTGAGAGATCTGCAACATCAACAGCCTGAGGTATCAAGACATTTGTGCTGCCCATTACATTACAAACCACAGGAGAGGGACAATTCTCCAGCAGGATAGCGCTCCTCATACTTCAGCCTCCACATCAAAGCTCCTGAAAGCAAAGAAGGTCAAGGTGCTCCCGGATTGGCCAGCCCAGTCACCAGATATGAACATTATTGAGCATGTCTGGGGTAAGATGAAGGAGGAGGCGTTCAAGATGAATTAAAAGTCCTCCAAGCTCATGATGGAGTCAGACACAATATTCATTCTGTCTCCACTGCAGCAGGACTTTATATTCTATACTGGACATTATTTCTGTTCAGTGACGAGACTTTTGTCTCAGCAGAGTCAGACCTTACTGTCCTAATCAAATCATTCAAAATCAAGGCATGATCATATTTTATTTTGGTCAAATAAGTGTAATCTAGAGGCCTTTACCTTTCATATAAGCCACTTCTGATACCAAATGATCAACTAGAAGTCAAGTTATTATTTGTTGTTACTAAACCTTGGATAGGCGACAAGACTTTTGTCAGGTAGTATATATTCAAATGAACAAAAATATCCAAGTTTTATTAATTTATTTTTTTATGATTAATGATATAGTTTAGTAATAATAATACAAGCAAAAGTGTCATTTATACCCAAAGAGACATCACAAACCAAATTAACCAAATTAATATTAAGTTAAAGTACATTATAAACAAAAATGAATCATTTTTTGAAAGAATCATTTGAGTCACTGATTGATTCATTAAAACCTACTGGAGGTTATTTCTCCAAGACCAGCCAAGACCATCACAAACACACACACTAATTATTGTTATCAAAGAACTAAATATGCTTTTTAAAAATGTATCGCACACCTCTACAGCAGATATAGAGTAATGCTAACCTTTCTGACCTGATGTGTTTATAATTCTACTGTATTTCTATTATTTTTGATGTGATGAGTGTTGATTATTTAAGCCATATTTGATTGATTTCTGTCATAATGAACCCATTACACCGCACAACCTGCTTTATATGATGTCTTTAAATAGATTCATATTTATTTATCATTATTTATTAGTTTATAGATTATATTTATAGCTTCATTACTGTGTATTTATTTTATTAAATCTGGTTTGTTTTGCTTTGTGTGTGCCAAAGTGCATTGAAACATTGATATTGTGTTCAGGGTGCATTATTTATTTGACTATTTATTTATGTATCTTCTGATGTTTTTATTGTTTTATATGGTAAGTTATTGTGGTTTATGTAAAGTATAATGGCCAAAACGTTAATGAACCTGATAGAGCTGCACTGACGCTCTCTGCTGGTCACTTCTTGCATTTGTTTTTGCTCTCCGTTGTATTTAATAGGACTCTCCAAGCCATGCATAGAGAACTAAGCCTAATAATGTAATAAAAGTCCTTTTTCTTGTTACTGATCACCTTTTTTACTGATCATTTAAATGCATTATTAGAGCTGCACGTTTTAGATTCAGATTTATTTGGCGATTCAGGATGCAATGTACACTTAATTCAGTTTGTTTGCATACATAGATGATGGTAGTGTTTACTTAACAAAGTCAACAGAGATACAAGGGTAATTACCAGTGACAGGAAGGGCTTTTATTTCAGTTTCTAAAAACAAATGATGTGTAATGAGATTGGGTGTACTTACTTTATTACTTTAAGACCTGAATAGAAATCCAAACTCTGTCAATGATTACCTATTAAAAGCATATGCATAACGACATGAGTCAGAGGTTGAAAAACTAAAGAATTTACGTAAGTAAAGGAAATCATAGCCGAAGGATACATTAAAGTGACAGTACAGACATCTATTTTCAATAAATACTGTTATTTTATGTTTTCATCAACATTGAAAGCAGCACGGCTGTTTTTAATATTGGTAATAATACTAAATCGAGCATTAAAACATCATATTTGAATACTTCTTGAGAGCTCACATGACACTGAAGAGTAATGATGCTGAAAGTTCAGCTTTTACGTTACAGGAATGAATTATATATTAAACATACTCTAATAGAAATGAGCTATTTTAAATAATAGTAATAATAATAATATACAGTGGGGAAAATAAGTATTGAACATGTTATGTTTTTTTTTTTCATGGGAATAATGTTCCTAAAAGAGCTGTTGACATGAATTTGAAGCAGATTTTAGTAAAAACCCAAACAATACAAACATAAAACTAAACTATATGAACAAAATCTGAAAATTGAGTTGTGTGTAATAATAATGGAATGACAGAAGGAGAAAGTGCTGAACTACTGTGTTTAACAGTTTATATAAAAGGCTGTATTGACGAGGTCTGTATAAGGTGTCACACAGGCGAAGCAGATTTGTCTTACATGTTTTGGATGTGCCCTAAGCTTACTCCTTACTGGCCAACTATATTCACTATGCTTAGTCCATAATTTGCTTTGTTTGGCATTCCACCTGATGAACTGAGTCTGACTCAAATACAACAAAACATTAAGATGCCTTAACATCTTTACTGGCTCGCAGAATAATTGTCTTGCACTGGAAGTCTGTAAATCCACCTAAAGCATCACACTGGCTTCAAGATCTAATGTTATATCGACACTTGGAAAAAAATAAATATTCAATTAGAGGTTCTAGCAAATTGGCAATCCTTATTATCATATTTCTTTGCTGTAATTGTACTTTCTGGGGGCTAATGTGACTTCTCTTGTATGTAACTAATCTTTTTTTTTCTCTGTCCTGACCCTCATGCTTAGTCTTTGTTAGGGTAACATTGTAAGACAGCACAGCATTATCACCCATCATTGTTGTCCATTTATTTATGTATTTACTTTTTTTATTTTATTTATTAATTTATTTATACATTTATTATGTTTACTTTTTATTTTATAAAGTTTTGTAGTTTTTATTATCATTATTATTATTATTATTATTATTATTATTATTTCTTTTTTACAATCTTTATTTAGGCAGTGTATTTAGGGTTTGTTTAAGTGGGTTTATAAAACATATCTCTGTATAAACAAAGACTTTTGTACTGGGCATAAAAGGAGAAAAGAAGCTGTTTTGGTTCTGCAGCTTAAACACCTCATATGGAGAATGAAGTCACTTGCATTGCTCAGGTGTGAGTCTTACAGACTTCAACAGTGTCAAAATCTTGATGGTTCTGTGGGTTTCGTCTATCAAATCTGAGCTTTATTCTGTATTCTCTATTGGATTCGGGTCAGGTGATTGGCTGGGCCATTCCACAGCTTTATTTTCTTTCTCTGAAAGTATTTGAGAGTCTCCTCTGCTGTGTTTTGGATCATCGTCTTGCTGAAATGTCCACCCTGCTTTCATCTTCATCCTCCTGCTAATGTAGAGGTTGGACTGAAGCAGCTGATATTCATTTACACTGAGGAAGGGCAGAGTGTTGCTGAAGAACAACTGAGAGATTTCAGCTGCTGTCCGGGCCTTCACTGCCTTTTTACGCTTTCCTTTCTTCACGCGTTCCATATTTTTCCTCTGCGTCTTTTCATTTGATCACGCATAACTTCATTTGTAAACTAATTAGATTTGTTTTCTTTGCATATATGGATTTCTTTAGTTGTTACCAACATCTGGGGAAAATTTTAAGTTAACAGCACCTTTAGAAACATGTTTTCTGAAAAAAATGGTGACGTGTTGAAGTTTTTCTGTATTTCCCAAGTGATATTCAACAGAGATGTCTAAATACATTTTTAAACAATAGTTGTAATAACTATTTTTAAATAACTCATTTCTTTTGTATTTCTCATGATGACAGTGCATACTATCTTACTGGTTATTTTAAAACTCTATTCAGCTTTAAGTGACATTTACAGTCTTAACTGTGTTAATAATGTAGGTTTGGTTTGCCTAGTTTAGTTCTGTAGACATTTGGAGAAATACAATTCTTAAGTGTGCAAATAATACTGACTTGAGCAGCTTTTACATTTTTTAATTATTATTCCAGCTAAACAAACAAACAAACAAACAAAAAAGACTTTCTGCAGAAGTAATATAATAGAAAATACTTGGAAAAAAATTCCCTGCTTTGTGAAACATCACTTGGGAAATCCAAAGTCAAACAAAAAGTGCTTTAGGGGTAAATAATGTCTGTGCTCTTCGGATAAGGGATTCATAACGATAAACAACAAAAACATAAGTTCAAGCTACTCAAAGTAAATGTATTATTATTATTATTATCATCATCATCATCATCATCATCATTATTATTATTATTATTATTATTATTATTATTATTATTATTATTATTATTATTATTCAGGCGACACTGTGGCTCAGTGGTTAGCACTGTTGCCTCACAGCAAGAAGGTCAGTGGTTTGAGTCCCGGCTGGGTCAGTTGGCATTTCTGTGTGGGTTTCCTCCGGGTGCTCCAGTTTCCCCACAGTCCAAACACATGCGTTATAGGTGAATTGAATAGCTGTAAAATATATATGTGCGTGTGTGCGTGCGTGCGTGTGTGTACGTGCGTGTGTGTGTGTGTGAATGAGTGTGCATGGGTGTTTCCCAGTACTGGGTTGCAGCTCGAAGGGCATCCGCTGTAAAAACATATACTGAAATAGTTGCCAGTTCATTCCACTGTGGTGACCCCTGATAAATTAGGGACTAAGCTGAAGGGAAATGTATGACTGAATGTTTTTTTCTCTTATATTTAGAGTGCATTGGACGTAGGATTTTGTTGTTTATAACTTGGGAAATGTTTGACATATAAAAACGTTCACGATAAATTCGATAATAACTGTATGTTGAACTGTAAATGCTGCATGCTGTAGCGTCAGTCATGTTTATGCACAGAGGACGATCACCACATAAACAATCCAGCCCACAAAGATGAAGACGCCGAACATCAGACTGAACATGACGAGCAGCCGGGCCTTCTGGGACGTTTTCTCTGCTTCTCGGATATCGCCTCTGCTCAGCGCCGCACGGGTCTGCACAGGTCAGAGGACATCATTAATAACTGGTTAACTTCCATCTTTTTATAATTGTATAGTTTATTATTCAATACATTCATTGATTAATAATAAATACATCATTAAAATGGTGAAAAAGCCACCATGTGAACATCTGCTGAATAGCATTATATACCAATGACATAAAACATCCAAGATCACGTTGGGATTTCTCTCTATCTATACACACACCCACACTTTTTTTGTGAAAAGTGGGTACATTGTATAGGTTTCCATTCATTTTATACTGTTCAAACCGTATATTATATTGCCCTCACCCCACCCTACCCCCAAACCCAACCATCACAGGAGACTGTGTGCAGCTTTACTCTCTGATTAAACTCATCCTATTTGATTTATAAGCTTTTTGAGAAATGAGGATGTCACCAATATTATTTCACCTCATATTTCACCTCCTTTTTGTAATACCTGTGTTATATCCATGTCATTATACAGATTTGTGTCCTGATATGTCACAAAAACATGTACTACACACACATACATACATATATATATATATATATGGGCTGCAAAATATTTGGGAAAAAATGACATTGCAAAATGTTTTTCTGTGATATACAGTCAACAGCCATTTTATTAGGTACACCTTACTAGTATTGGGTTGGACCCCCTTTTGCCTTCAGAACTGCCTTAATCTCTCATGGCATAGATTCAGCAAGGTACTGGAAATATTTTTTTTGCTCCATATTGACATGATAGCATCACACATTTGCTGCAGATTTGTTGATTGCACAATGATGATGCCAATCTCCCGTTCCACCACATCCCAAAGGTGCTCTATTGGATTGAGCTCTGGTGACTGTGGAGGCCATTTAAGTACAGTGAACTCATTGTGATGTTCAAGAAATCAGTCTGAGATGATTCACACTTTATGACATGGTGTGTTATCCTGCTGGAAGTAGCCATCATAAGATGAGTACACTGTGGTCATAAAGGAATAGACATGGTCAGCAACAATACTCAGGTAGGCTGTGGTGTTGACACAATGCTCAATTGGTATTAATGGACCCAAAGTGTGCCAAGAAAATCTCCCCCACACCATTACACCACCACCAGCCGCCTGAACCGGTGATACAAGGCAGGATGGACCAGCAGTTTCAGTAGATCAGCAGTTTCTGAAATACTCAGACCAGCCCATCTGACACCATCAACCATGCCACAATAAAAATCCCCTTTCTTCCCCATTCTGATGCTCTGTTTGAACTGCAGCAGGTCGTCTTGACCATGTCTACATGCCTAAATGCATTGAGTTGCTGCCATGTGATTGATTAGAAATTTGTGTAAACGAGCAGTTAGACAGGTGTACCTTATAAAGTGGCCGGCGAGTGTAATTTCCAATATTAATGCAATTTTACTCTATTTGGAAAGAATTCATAATTTAACATTGTTTGGGGTCATTTTGTAGGGGAGTTCATTGTAAGGGATTTCAGAAACCACATATACTGTAAATATTGCCAGTACAGAGCTCAACTAATTGTATTAAAGTCCTTTGAACGTGTCTGTCTATATTTTTCAAGACACTAGTATTCAAGTGCAAGCCTAACTAGGTTAATTAGGCAAGTTAATGTGATAAGCCAAGTCATTGTATAACAGTGGTTTGTTCTGTAGACAATTCAAACAAATATTTCTTAAGGGGGCTAATAATATTGACCTTAAAATTTTATTCCAGCCGAAATAAAACAAGTCAAACTTTCTCCCGAAGACAAAAACATTATAGAAAATACTGTGAAAATTCCTTGCTCTGTTAAACATCATTTGGAAAATTATTGAAAAAGAAAGTCACAGGAGGGTGAATAATTCTAACTGTATATGCTGAGGGTGAATTTGGTGTCCATGAAAGAGTGGGAACCCTGAGAAAAAGGATGGCTGTGAGTGGTGTTTTCAGCAGTGTGTGTTGTGTTTCAGATGCTCACTTCATACGAGTACATGACGGCGAAGAGTCCGCTCATGATGCAGCAGAAGATGGTGACCAGCAGAGACTCCACCAGGTAATCTTTAGGTAACGGCTGCTGCTCTTCTCCCAGCGGCGGTGGTGGCGGCCCGTTCATATACTGAAAACAACAGGCACACATTCACAGCATCTAGACCAGGGCTTCTCCAGTGTGTCCTGCTGATATTAGCTCCAACCCCATTCAGACACACCTGGGCTAGCTAATCAAGCTCTTAATAGGCTTTCTAGAAACACTTTTGCAGGTGTGTTGGAACAAGCTGGAGTTTGAGAACCCCTGATCTAGACTGACAGGATGTTAATAGTTATTATAAGTAAGAAGCATGGGCACACTTGAAACCACCCACATAGCAAAATTTCTCTGGCCCAGCTCTGGCCCACACAATCAGGTTTTGCTTGGCCCACATGCCGCAGTGAATTACGGTACATGACTGGACCAAATCTGGCTTCCAGACAAGGGCCAAACACAGACCATATCTGGGCCAAGTCTCAGCCAAGTTAATAACTCATAACTGGGCCTGAACTGGGCCAGATAGGTTGGTGTGTCACGATTGCAATGAAATTGATAAACCCATGGAGTGATGCTCTCTAGGCACACTATGGGCACGCTTTTTCTCAAAGTGACCTGATTGGTAGAATTTTTTTTCTTTACTCAAAAATGATTTTAGTGTATTTTAAATGTGGGTCAAGACTGGCCAAACTCACATGGCCCACTTATCAAATGTTTAAATCTGGGCCAAATACTACATTTTACATCTGGCCCAAATCTTGTGTGCCACCTTAAAGACGGTGCCACCTCTGCCAAACCCGGGCCATGTTTGGCCCACATGCTGTATGCCAGTGCCGGATGAATGCCTGCTGTGCCAGCTTTTTGCCAAATCTGGGCCAGAATTCTTTGCTACTAGGGCCAATAGTACGAAAATTTGCCAGAATACACAACAAAAAAATGAGGGCTATAATGCTGAGGTATTTTTGCTAAAATAAACCTCAACCACTGACTCTTCACAGTTTCATATTTGGGTAGAGAAAATAACACTAACTTCCCCTCACACTTCCAGTAATACAGCTGAGCATAGCGCATAGACATATACACTAGATATCGCATAGGGGCCCTGAGCATGCGTCAATAGCGCCGCCACATTGGTACAGTGCTCCCAGGACAAGTGTCATTCAACCGCACTAGTCAAGACAGTGTTAATTACGTGAAGATGCGGGACTTTAGCGCTGTCTACGGGTGTAGTAACGAGCAAACAAAGAAAACAAAGCACTAAGGCAGAACATTTCATAGGTAATATTAAGGATTTTTTTCTGTTTTTGTATATTCTGAACTTTTGTGCTAATCAGGTCACGTTATTGATGATAACAGTCACTTACTGCATTCACCATACGGCAAAGCAGCTCCAACTCGCACTAAACACTCGGCTTATGCTAGTTTTGTTGAATAAAATCAGCAAACAATGCAAAATAAATATGACAACGAGATGCTGCGCTGCCAGAAACTTTATTATTGTCGGCTAGTGAAGGAGTTGTTCATAACGGAGACTCATTCACAAACGAATCTCTCTCTCCGTCAGTATGAGAAGTGAAAGCAGGAGAGGAGGTGTGTTTCAGGACATGATTAGATCAAATTTAACAGGGAGGGTGAATAGTACATTTCTGTACACACAAACACAAGCTTTTTGTCAGGAATGCCCGTGCGGTCACTGATCCATCAATGTAGAAAAGTGATGTAAAATTATAATTTTCGTAATTGGAAAAAAAAATTACATACTAACATCCAGGAAAACTCCCGATCATAGATATATGTGTATATGTGTATATCTCTGGCTTTGGATGGCCACAGTCCTCCACTGTACTTTGGTCCCGCATTCATTTCAAAGGAGCGCTACCCTGTAGCAAGATGGCGGCGCTATTGACGCATTCCGTCCAATAGACAACAATAGGCCAGGCGACATCTAAGGTATATATCTATGAGCATAGCGTCTTCATGACATGGTTCAACCGGGATCTGCTACAGTGTTTGTGGGCGGAGCCGCAGGTTTCAATTTTCCCGGGTTTGCGCGTACAACAATTGGGCGGGGCTTAAGTTTCATATCGACGTCATGACGAAACGGCTAAAGACTGGTTATAAAGATAATTAATTTGAAGCACTATGAGTCGACTCTTTTATAGATGAATCAATAGTTTTAAACACGTGCACTTTCAGGTTTAAGCCTGGATATTTCACTGCACTTAGAGCTGTGTTACACACTACATTGAAGGTCATTTTCAAAAACTCATAATAGGGGCTCTTTAATATCACAAATGTCCTTGAGAACCACTCAATAGGGTATATGCCGAAGCATGCTAATAGGATTTAATTTGCCAGTAACCTGGGTTAAGCGCTTCCGGCGAATTGAATGCCAATGCAAAATCCGGTGCGTTTAAGGTCTGTTTTCTTTAAAAATCAGCGATCTCCACTAGCTGAGTGATATCCGATTTAAAGTGGGTCTCAGATTGTACAAGAAGCACTGCATTAAATTACATTTCCCCCGCCATATCTTTATAATATGAGCATTTATTTTACCCCAGTATATTCAATGGAGCTTCTGCGCTAGCCTGCCGATTCTGACGGGCGCGTGCGGGTAAACAGCTTTTTAACTAAATAATAAATAAATAACTAAATAAATGCTAAAGTTTATTTAGCTGAATGTATTTTAATGACATTACATAATTGATGCTGTATAAGGAACCGTATAAAATGGAAAAAGTTCACAATAACAGGTCACCGGAAGTGTATCAGCATGGGAACAGCACTAGCTCGGCATACACCCTATATCCCTTAAAACACTGAAAACTAAAGTTTGATTAATAAATTAGATATAATTGAATTAAATATAGAAATTTGGTTCACTGAGGCACAGGGACGTTGCTAGGGTTGAAAGGGATTAGAAGCTTAGCCCCAAAGAAATCCCCTACACCCCCCCAATAAAAGTTCTAATTCACCCCGCTAAAATACCAAAAGGTGATCTACTCTGATCTTAATAAAATGATTATAAATGGTTTATTAATAAATATAGGGTTTTTTAGTTGACAGTCTTTTAACAATACATTGTCAAGCTTTGTGATTGGTAAACACATTGATAAATTAACCCACTTCACATTTACTAGTCTGTAATGAGCCATATCAGACCCCTTGAGCCTCCTTTCTCCGCCTGATGTGCAGTTTCTGTTTGTTTTTTGAAAATGTAATTTTCTGCATGTCTTCATATCTGAAAATAGGATTTATTTTGAGTTGTTATCCAATGTGATACAAAGCTACAAACATGTTTCCTTGGACAGACTGGTTAACTAAGGTGTAGTGTTGTCCAGGTACTGGAATTTCTAAAATAAATACCTTGTAAAATATTAATATTTCAATAGGCTACTATTTTTGATATAATAACAATTGTATAAAAATAGTACAAAAAAATAAAAATAAAGATCTATATATGCTAGAAATATGTTTACTTCAAATTTCTTCAGAGGGATTTTTTTTTTCAGTTTTCCTCAAAATAGGGTGATGTGGGCTTTGTAGCACTTTAAATGCATGTAAAGGCTGTTTTATTCACACTTGAGCAGAAATTATATATGCCTCATAAAAGTAGTAGAACATTCCAGGAAATCCCTAATATGGATGAAGGCATCCAGCTATTGCTGTAGTTGAACGAAAATAAGATCTGAATAAAGATGAAAATGCTTTAACTGATCATTTACACCACTGCGACAATAAATGGTCTATATGTGTTATTCCAGCCATCTTAGGTAGAAAGCCGATTTATAATCCGATGCTAACTGATATAGCATGTTATAGTAGAATATAGCTATAAAATAATAAGCTAGATGCATGAACTCACGGTGATTTAACTATTACAGACACAGATGTGACTGGCTATATCATAGATGGCCATAGATATAGATATGGCTAGATATCCATGTCATATCTAGAAAGCTAGTACAATTTACATTTTTATGACTAATCTGCATGTATTTATATTAATTTGACACATATTTTATTAATTGGTTATTTTATTTCACCAAAACGCCACACATTTTATACTGTGAAAACAAATATTAAGCTTCATCAGTAGTTAGAACTACTCAGTTTGGCGAAACAGTTGTATTATTACCTCATCAGCTTCAGCTCCTTAAAATAATGAATGAACAATGACAGTGCAGTGACGGGATTTTTTTTAACACCATGTGACAACAGAGCCACTCCCACCTGCCGGTAGAAACAGGTACTGCTAAACAGCTGACTATTTAAATACCCGACACAAACACTGCATTAAGCTGAATGCACGTGATGTATGTGCTCATTTTAAGCACTTATATAACAAAACAAATGTTATACAACCTATTTTTATTTCAGTGCAATATATTCCAAAAGATCAGGGGATTTTGACAATACATCAAGGGCTTAAGCCCTTAACAGATCAATTCTTTTTCCGGCTCTAAACGCATATGATTGGCTTCTGCCTTTCCACGATGAACGACTCAAAAGACTTGAAATGAACGATACCACCTGCACAAATGTGCGAATGAATGAATCACTCCCTGAGAGGACTCGTAGTTTCCGAGTCATATTGAAGATTCGTTCAAAATGAACAAATCGTTCATGAACGACCCATCAGGGGTTAATTTTGAAGCCCTTGCCCTTTACACTCTGGAATTGGGCCTTAATGCCCCATTCACACGGGGCGTCAACGCTTCCCATTCACTTTGAATGGGTGACGTCAGGCGTTGTCGAATTGCATTGTGGACGGAGGCGTCAGCCAATCAGATCGCTGTATGCAAATACACCAGCTAGACAGTGGCCTATTTCTGACTGAATTTCATTGGGTGACGCTTCTATGACGATTGTTTCAGCCGCAACTTCAGACACGCCTTCCGTCAAGCATTGACGCTGAAGCCCCGTGTAAATGGGGCGTCAGCGTCAACGCTTGACAGTGGCCGTGTCTAAAGTTGGGGCTGACGCGATCGTCATAGAAGCGTCACCCAATGAAATTAGTCAGCAATAGGCCACTGTCTGAGCTGGTGTATTTGCATACAGTGATCTGATTGGCTGACACTTCCGTCTGCAATAGGGTATATGCCGAGCTAGTGCTGTTCCCATGCTGATACACTTCCGGTGACCTGTTATTGTGAACTTTTTTCCATTTTATACGGTTCCTTATACAGCATCGATGTTGTAATGTCATTAAAATACATTCAGTTAAATAAACTTTAGCATTTATTTTGTTGCTCAAGCGTAAAACGAGACAAAAGCTGTTTACTCGCACGCGCCCGTCAGAATCGCCAGGCTAACGCAGAAGCTCCATTGAATATACTGGGGTAAAATAAATGCTCATATTATAAAGATATGGCGGGGGAAATGTAATTTAATGCAGTGCTTCTTGTACAATCTGAGACCCACTTTAAATCGGATATCACTCAGCTAGTGGAGAGCGCTGATTTTTAAAGAAAACCTTAAAGAAGACCTTAAACGCACCGGATTTTGCATTGGCATTCAATTCCCCGGAAGCGCTTAACCCAGGTTACTGGCAAATTAAAAGTCCTATTAGCATGCTTCGGCATATACCCCATTGAAAAGTTTAGCAAGTCCTAATTTCTGCAGGGAGCAACGTCTCTGAAGCAGCGCCGACGGATCCAAAATGCAGTTCGGCAACGCCTGACGTCACCCATTCAAAGTAAATGGGAAGCGTGCGCCCTGTGTGAATGGGGTGTAAGTGGTTTTGTGTAAGTCTGCTGATTTACTTACTATGGTGTATGATGGGTAGGTGGACGGTGGCAGGAATGAGGGCGGGTAGAAAGCGGGTGGATTGGCGGGTTGGCAGGCGATAACCGGTTGGTTTGAGTAATGCTGTAGCGGTGCGGGGAACATGAGGTAAGCTGTTTTTGGGTCCGGCGGGCTGTAAGGAGGAGGATTCAGAGAGATGCTGCCAGCCGGACCGTCACCTCCAGCAGGCCCCGGGACTCCTTCCATGTGCGCTGTGTAGGGCTGATGGAGTGTGTGTGTGCTGTCCGTGTCGAACGCTGGGTTTATTGTGCGGTTGCTGTCTGTTTCGTAGGCCAGATGAGCCGTCTGGATGCTGTCGGTGTCATTGGCAGGACCGGCTGTGAAGATGCTGACCGAGTCGTATGCTGGGACGCTGGGTAAAATCACTGCATCTCTGTGTCCCGCTGCATCATGATGAGGGTCCTGGAGGCCTGAAGAGCCCTGCGGTCTCGTATCTCCAGCAGACGGGTTTAGACGAGCAGCTGCACAGGAGAAATGCACAGATGCAGGCTTGTGAAAAAGTTGGCACATCCTTATTTATTTCACGGGTTTCTGTATGGGGTTTTCTGCTAATCATTATTTTTTGCAATTAAATTTCGCAGCTAAAATGTTATATGTAGCTTATATGTTCTTCCTTTAACTACCCGACCAAGAAAAACATTTTAAATTTAATTTCCTAACTCCTAATGTCGCTAATGTAACACACATTTCTAAAATATCAGCCTCTACCAAATGGTTGATATGTTGGTTAATGGTAAAAGTACTGGAAATATTACATATCTGAAGTTTGTTTATAAACTAATTTGAAGAGGATCACTTGCTTACGATTGCTTGCAGCCGGCCCCGCATTATTTAATTTATGATTCATCAATCAGACGATTCTTAAGCCACCAGAGATAGCAAAAATACAGAAATCCTTTACTTAAGTAGAAGTACAGATACTCATGTTTAAAGGGTCACGAAACACCTCAACACATTTTTTGAGCTGTTGACAGTCGTATATGTGTCCCACACTGCTAAAAACACTATTAGGACACCTATATTTCACTAAAAAGTGTAAATTGGTTGTTTTTGCGTTATTTCAAGTAAATTCGTACTTCCGGTTTGAAACTAATTTTTGAAGCTGCGTCACGGTCATGACATAATAGCGTTGTATTCCAGCGTGCAGACTGGACGTCTGTGCCAGAGTGTGTCTTATTACGTCTTACAGTGTGATGCATTAATGCATGAGTAAAGCTTGGTTCAAACCAATCAGCACGCTCTATTGTGCAACTTCATTAATATTCATTACTGTCACAGTGTTTAGACGGCAGAGACGCCACGTTGTGTTGGCAAAACAAGCATGAAGTGTTGCTTTTATAGTTTGCTGCAGTGAAGTTTCGTTTTCATTTTCTCTCTGTGAGAGCTCAGCTGGAGTCACGTGTGGATTAACAGTGTACGCGACGCTCGACAACAATAACTTACGTGTCTAAGGAGGATTATTGTTTACCTGAGAGCTGTTCTCATCTGCAAACGCTGAGATCCGGATTCGCTTGTAGTCTTCTCTTAATAAAGACGCGGCTCTAGTTGCTGGTGATTGTTCTGTCTCTACAGATTTGGTAAGTGAGCGACCAGTGCTCTTTGTTTATTCAGTTTGTTCATATCGAACTAAGTTAACTATTGCACCGAGTGTAAACATGTTAGCACCACAACCAAACATTAACCTCGTGGAGGATTTTCACCGCATTTAGTGACCGGAATAACACGCGCGGCTTTCTGACGCTACCTGCCGTGTACATCTAAGTTTCCGGGAAATGAGGAGGGGTTTTTTCTCTCATTCGCCGTGCGGTATCAAACATTGCATGAAAAATACACACTTAGAGCAGATCCTTGAATCAAATATCTTATTTGTCATGAGGGACATGACTGAATTCCCTGAATGAAAGAGCCAAACTGCAGTTAAAATCCACTATTTAATAATTTGGCAAATAATTCGACTACAGATGTCCATGTAAACACAGTCACTTTTTCCCGTGTGTTTGTGTGTGTGTGTGTTCCCATTGAACGCCTTGAGGGCAAAACGCCTGCTTGACGGGCACAAACTGTCGCAAAAGACTGCTGAAATTGGAGCCTTGACATGCGCAGAAGGACTGTCTGATGGAGCCAGAGGAGGAGCCGCGAAAATGAGCGGAGTCGAGCTTCCAATCAAACGCTTTATGTAAAATCAACCACGCCCCCCGAACTTCTCAGCATGCGTTTGCTGTCGTATCAACACAAATGGATGTAATAACGTTAACAAATATAACAAATATAATGTCGCCGGCTGATTCCGGCTCGCATGCGGCAGCGCCGGCTCGCTCGGCCGCCGCATCTGGCTCGATTGACTCGGGCTAGAATCGGGCAGTGAGTCCAGGCATCCGGAGTAGGTCCAGCAGAGGTAGTCAGTCTGAGCTCTGAGGGGTAAGTCTCCGGCAGGCGATACTCTAGCCGAAACTGGCCCGAGTGTATTTTGCTATCTGGGTGGTTAGGCGTGTATCAGCAAACTAATAAAGCCCGAAAAAAGCCCTGAACTTAGCGAATAAACAGTGTTCCACCAGGATCATGTATGTCAGAAACTATAGTTTACTGCTGAACTCATTTTGTCATGGTAAAATAACACAGAAATCGAATAATAACACTCTAGTCTCCTGCCGAAGCTCAGACGCGCTGCTTTGAGAAACTGTCAATCACAGCTGTCAATCACGATGACACGCCCAGCATTAAATTACTGCTAAAAACAAACTGTTTACAAAAATGAAGATCTGCACCTATTTTAGCACAATAACCAGCGCCTTAATCGACCAGAACCATCTTTCGGGACTTTTTTTGCAAGTGTTTATTGCAAGTGTAATATTTTTTTTTATTTGGGCTCAAGTCTCCTTCATTAACACGGAGGAGGCGGGCTTTATGACTTGTACTGCAGCCAGCCCCCAGGGGGCGATCTAACGGCCGAGACCTTCAGTCAAACGCAGGCTTGCGGCACACTTGGTGTATTTTGACTCTGAAACTCAGCGGGTGCCCAAATAGACACTCCCACACCATCCCACTTTAGTTCCTCCGACACTCCCCCCTAAACAGAGCTGGACACGCCCACTTTTCTGACTTTTTCCAAAGTAGAGGTGTGAAAACACCCTGCTGAAACGAGGGGGTTTCATGGCCCTTTAAAATGACTCCGGTAAAAGTTGAAGGACTGACTACACTTTTGTACGCAAGTAAAAGTAAAGAAGTACGGCCTCAAAAATAGACTTAAGTAAAAAGTAGCCAATAGCACTGCACATTTCAGTTTTACTAGGTATGTAAATGTCCAGTACCCCAGAAGCAAACTCACAGCATTCATCATGTAGTTTTACACAACATCTGCCATTCATGTTGATACACTCTAAAAATAATTCTCTGTCCTACATTTTACACTGAATTCTGTCCAAAACATATTGCATTTTAAAATTTTATTTTTGAAATTTTTTTATTGAATATATTGAAAATATATTTTCATATTTGACTATAAACAATTTTTTTTGCTTTAGCAGCTCTCACACATAAGCCATTATTTTAGTGTTTGCAATCCGGCTCAGTGGTTAGCACTGTTGCCTCACAGCAAGAACGTCACTGGTTCTAGTGCTTACCAAGCCAGCCAATGTTTCTGCATTTCTGTATCTGAGTTTACACGTTCTGCCCATCCTCACGTGGGTTTCCTCCGGATTCCCTGGTTTCCTCTCACCGTCCAAAAACATTCGACTTAGGTTAATTGACTTATCCAAATCGGCACCATAGACATGCTCCTAGTAATTAGTTATCGCTTAAGAGCAATCGCTATCTGTTCATTAGCTACTACAGCAAGAGAGCTCTCTCCCCTTGCAAACAGGAGGGAACCCCAGCCTCGAGGAACTTATGAGTTCAGGGACAGCATGCTAAACAAGCTTTATAATCAATCATCAGCTAAGTGTGAACTCTTGAAATAATGTTAAAGAGGTTTTATACGCATTAATTAGATTATAAACCTTACCAGTGTGTTGGAGTGCAGTGAGTGCACTATTCTCTGCTTCTGAATGGCTGTATTTAAATGTTTCTTCTGGTGCAAAAAGCCCAATTGCTCATCACTGCAAATCTTGTCACGTAGCATGCTGTTAGTACACTGGTTAAAATGTAGCCTATCACAACAGCTCAGTATTTTTTAGAGTGAATCTGTTGAATTGACGCACCTCAAACACATCTGATTATCATAAAAACAGCAAGCATTTTTAATGTAGACACTTTGAAAAATGCTGGGTTGTTGTAAACCAATGTTGGGTCAAATATGGACAAACTCAGCCAATAGGTTAACAAGTATAATTCAAATCTAAATGGAAAATAAATAGCACAACGTTGTTTGTTCTTATCTTACAATGTACAATGCTCACCAAATGTTTGCATTCCTAATATTTAACATTTTTGCTAATTAATATTCATTACTAATGCATTTTTGGAGGCTGCTACTGTCCACCAGAGGTTGCATTTCAGTCCTGACCGCATACTTTGAGAGTCCTTATGACTGAATGAATGAAATACGCTGTTTTCCAGCAAGGCGACCCGGGCTGCTAAAAAATAATTGGCTAAAATGGCATTGGGTGGGTTAAAAGACCAAAACAAAGACAGCCGTTCTGGCACGTAACGCACATTTACAAAGCAGAATATCTGACTTCAGCATTGTTTTTCAAATAAACAAGAATGTTCACTGAGCTTGTTTCTGAAATATCTGCAAACATGTTGTGGTGTTTTTATACTTTAGAAGAGTTCAACACTTACATAAAGCACCTTTAAAGTCTCTAATCCAAGTTTTAGATCCACTTTTTGCTGTAATATTTGGCAGAAATGTTTGCTCAGTGCTTAATGGTTAGCATTAGCACACTTTCACAGTTTTCTCTACGCTATATAAAGGTAGTTCTTTTAGCTTGTGTGTTTTGAGGAGCTGCTGGAGTCACCTGAAACTCTGAGAAAGCTTCAGCTCCACACAGACATCAATTATTCACCGCTGCCTGACACACAAAACTCTGAACACACGGACTGGAAATGGCTGAAAGTGATCAGGGCCTTTCTGCCCTGCTAAAAAATCCAGCTTAAACCAGCCTAGGCTGGTTTAAGCTGGATTTTTCTGCAGGGTGACCCAGCTTTTCTGTACTAATGAAGAATTATATTCATTTGTGTTGTCAGTTAGCATCGTCTGTAGCTGGTCAAGTATCTTATTACACTGTATGCTGGAATATATCACATATTGACAAACCAAATCATCGAGATTATAAAAGCAATTAGATTGAAAAATTAATCCAATGTTGAGTTTGTCCGTATTTGAACCCAATATTAGGTTATGACAGCCTGGTATATTTAGAGTGTTTCTTCTGAACTAACGCACATCAAACACATCTGATTATTATAAAAGCAAACTTTTTTTTGTATATGCTTTAAACAATGCTGGGTTGTTGTGACTCAATGTTGGGTCAAATATGGACAACTCCAAACAAACGGTTAAAACGTGTCATTTGGTTTTTTCCTTTCATTTTTAATGGGTTTGTCAATGTTTTACCTTAAATTTGGGTTACAACAACCCAGCATGTTTACAGTGTAACTGCTGAACTGACACATCAAATATAATAAACACACACAGTAACATGCCATTGCCTCTTTGAAGAAGCAGTAATCTGAATTACTTCCCCTAATATAACCAAAAAAGCACTTATCTTCACGTATTATTAGCATCAAACACATCTGATTTTCATAAAAGCTATCTTTTATTCTGTATGCTTTGAAAAATGCTGGGTTGTTGTAACCTAATGTTTGGTCAAATATGGCCAAACCCAATGGTTAGGTTAAAAAGTGTCATTTAAATGGAATTGGAAAAAAATATGTGTAATATATGTGTAAATGAGTGTATGGATGTTTCCCAGTGATGGGTTGCAGCTGGAAGGGCATCAGTTGCGTAAAACATATGCTGGATAAGTTGGCGGTTCATTCCGCGGTGACGATCTCTGATTAATAAAGGGACCAAGCCAAAATAAAATTAGCCCAATGTTGTGTTTGTTAATTATTGACCACACATTGGGTTACGACAACCCAGTATATGTAGAGTGTTATATCTAGTATTTAGATCTTATTATTATAAATAAAGCAACCGTTTTTTGTATACGCTTTGAAAACAAATGCTGGATTGGTTTAACCCAATATTGGGCCAAATATAGACAAACCCAACCATTGGGTTTAAATATTTCCCATTTAAAAATCTCAAGAGTTGTGTGGTTTCAGCTCATTTTTAGTATTTTAAAGCAGCAAAATTATTTTTTGAGTGTATCAAATATGGACAAACCAAATAGTTGGGTTAAAAAGTACCATTTAAATGTAATTGTAAAATGTTGGGTTTGTCCAAAATTGAACTATGACAACCCAGCATGTTTAGAGTGCATCTGTGGCACACATCAAAAATAATAAAGACACACATAAACATGTAATTAAAGAAGCAGTCAGATGATGTATTTCCCCTAATGTAATCAAAAAGGCACTGTCAAAATATCATCCATATTTGACCCAGCATTAGGTTACGACAATTCAGCATGTTTACAGTATATCTGCTTTACTGATGCACATCAAACATAATAAACATGCCATTAAAGAAGCAGTTAATACATTTTTTCTTTAATATAATTAAACATGCACTGTCTGCATATCATAAACACAGCATTTTTATTTTGTAAACACTTTAAAAAATACTGAGTTGTAACCCATATGTTGGGTCAAATATTGACAAGCCCAACTATTAGATTAAAAAGTGTCATTTGAATATAATTTATAGAAATAAGCGCAATGTTGTGTTTGTTCGTATTTGAATCAAGATTGTGTTACAACAATCCAGCATGTTTAGAGTTAATCTGCTTAACTGAGGCACATCATAAATAACAAGTTCACACAAAATCACGCCATTGGCTCTTTAAAGAAGCAGTAAAATATTAAATTAGCTTAATATGGTCAAGAATGAATACAGTCTAAAAATGCTGTATTAACCCAACACTGGGTCAAAATTGGACGAACAACGCAGTGGGTTCAAAACTGTAGTTAAAATTTAATTTAAAAATAATCCAACATTTGGGTTTGTCCACGTTTCATTCTAAACAACCCAGCATTTACAGATTCATTTAGTGTACTTAATGAGTGAGAATGCTGCAATTTTAGGGCATTTATTTAAAACATTTAATAAAATATATTGTTTTGCATAATTAAATACACTCACCGGCCACTTTAATAGGTACACCTTACTAGTTCTTCAGCCTTAATCCTTCGTGGCATAGATTCAACAAGGTACTGGAAAATTCCTCAGAGATTTTCACTCCATATTGACTTGATAGCATCACGCAGTTGCTGCAGATTTGTCGGCTGCACATCCATGATGCCAGTCTCTCATTCCACCACATAACCAAAGCTGCTCTATTGGATTGAGCTCTGGTGACTGTGGAGGCCAATTGAGTACAGTGAACCCATCGTCATGTTCGAGAAATCAGTCTGAGATGATTCACGCTTTATGACTTGGCGTGTTATCCTGCTGGAAGTAGCCATCAGAAGATGGAGACACTGTGTTCATAAAGGGATGGACATGGTCAGCAACAATTCTCAGGTAGGCTGTGGCGTTGACACGATACTCAATTGGTACTAATGGGCCCAAAGTGTGCCAAGGAAATCTCCCCCACACCATTACACCACCGCCAGCAGCCTGAACCATTGATACAAGGCAGGATGGATTCATGCTTTTATATTGTTGATGCCAAATTGTGACCTGACCATCTGAATGTGTCAGCAGAAATGGAGACTCATCAGAGCAGGCAACGTTTCTCCAATCTTCTATTGTCCAGTTTTGGTGAGCCTGTGTGAATTGTAGCCTCAGTTTCCTGTTCTTAGCTGACAGGAGTGGCACCCGGTGTGGTCTTCTGCTGCTGTAGCCCATCTGCCTCAAGGTTGGACGTGTTGTGTGTTCAGAGATGCTCTTCTGCAGATCTCGGTTGTAGCGAGTGCTTATTTAATTTGAGTGACTGCTGCATTTCTATCTGCTGGAACGAGTCTGGCCATTCTCCTCTGGCATCAACAAGGCCTTTGCGCCCGCAGAATTGCTGCTTAGTGGAAATTTTGTCTTTTTCGGACCATTTTCTGTATACCCTAGTGATGGTTGTGCGTGAAAATCCCAGTAGTTCCTGAAATACTCAGACCAGCCCGTGGTACCAACAACCATGCCACGTTTAAAATCACTTAAATCCCCTTTCTTTCCCATTCTAATGCTCTGTTTAAGCTGCAGCAGATCTTCTTGACCATGTCTACATGCCTAAATGCATTGAGTTGCTGCCATGTTATTGGCTGATTAGAAATTTGCGTTAACGAGCAGTTGGACAGGTGTACCTAATAAAGTGGCCTGTGAGTGTATTTAAACCAGGCTTTTATTAACAATTATAATTTAAATCCATATTCTCAAAACTGCTGGGTTGTCATAACCCAACGTTGGGTTGATTTGATTAATTGTTTGATTTTTAATAGAATTTATGTTGTACTTTTTAACCCAATGATTGACTTTGGCCATATTTGACCCAACACTGAGGTTAAACAACCCAGCAGTTTTAGAGTGCAAAAAATATACAAATGTGAACGTAAATAAACTGAAATAATAACATACAACTGTTTCTTATTATCTGCCACGGCAACATTTCTCATTTTTATTTAGTTGAGTACTAAAATAATGAACTAATACACTAAAACTAATAAAAACAAAAACATATGAATATTAAATCTAATAAAAACAATGAAGTCACTGAAATTGTGGCTAAAGTTAAGTACAATTTAATTCAAATTGTTAACAAACTAACTGTTATAGTTGACTAAAATAACACAGACTGAATCTGAAGCTTCTCTTATTCTGCAGTTTCAGTCTGTGTGTTTTATAAACCGATTGATGAATATGAATGTTCCTGTGGGTTTTCCAGCCTGATGAACAGAAGTTTTGATGAATAAAGTGTGTTTGTTTTACCTGTGTCCATCAGAGCCAGTTAAAAGTCCTCAGGAAGAGCAATAATCCTGAGGGAAAAATCAGCAGATGCAGTGTTGATGTTCAGGACCAGCCGTTTCTGTGTGTGTCTCACCGAACATAATCCTGTGTGTGTTTAATAATTGACGACTGACGGCTGTGTGTGTGCTCGTGTCGTGTGTGTTTATGAGCGTCCTTGTGGAACAACCTGCACGTGGTGAGCTGTGTTCATTCATTATAATCATTTTTAACTAACTTAAAATGTGTATTTAGCTGAAGTTTGATGCAAAACCACTAAATTGTTTACATTTTCCCACAACAACTGCTTAATAGAAAGATTACATTGTGCTGTAATTATAAAATGAGCTCTATCTATCTATCTATCTATGCCGTCAGTTTGACGGCATAGTTGTGTATATAAAAACAAAATCAAACATGGAGAGTCTCAAAAACCCTTTTGTATGAGGAACTACTTTCTTCCGCATTGGATTCAAATCATAAACTGACAGTTAAACAGCTGAGCGTGCATCTTTTAAACTTTAGATCTGTAGTGTCTGCTTTTTGCTGGCTGTGTGTGGGCGGAGTGATACACAAAGGGTAAAGAGGCTGTACGGGTGCTGATATATATATCACGGCTATCAGCCAATCAGATTCCAGAACCAGACAGAACTGTTGTATAAATATCTATCTATCTATCTATCTATCTATCTATCTATCTATCTATCTATCTATCTATCTATCTGTCTGTCTGTCTGTCTGTCTGTCTGTCTGTCTGTCTGTCTGTCTGTCTGTCTGTCTGTCTGTCTGTCTGTCTGTCTGTCCGTCCGTCCGTCCGTCCGTCCGTCCGTCCGTCCGTCCGTCCGTCCGTCCGTCCGTCCGTCCGTCCGTCCGTCCGTCCGTCCGTCCGTCCGTCCGTCCGTCCGTCCGTCCGTCCGTCCGTCCGTCCGTCCGTCCGTCCGTCCGTCCGTCCGTCCGTCCGTCCGTCCATCCGTCCATCCGTCTGATAGAAATGGAATTAAGACGTGGAGTATGCAGATATTAGTGGCATTATTGAAGTAAACACCGCGATCAAACTATTACCGTCATGTAGGTACCGTTCACCATATTTTTTGACAAGATCGACACAGGCGGCTGTCAGTAAAGGACTGCACACACAAACACACACACATCGCGAAATGCGGAAGGATTTTTTAAAATTTCCATTTGGCGTGCGTTATTATATTCCATCACACGATCACCAGTCCTTACACATTATTTGCGTCTAATACCCCAGTTTGTCACGGGGGCACGACTGAAATGTTCACGAGTTAAAGTGAAACTGCCGAACTGCTGATTTAATTCGGACGGGCACTTTTTTGTCAGACGGCTCACCGGTCAGGTATACATCCACGCTAAAATATCAAGGTGAAAGTCATCATAGCTTGCGTAGAATAGACCCAGCTCCCAAACCAACTTTGAGAATAGATTAACATTGATTTTGTTTTTCGCACGATAAGAGTCTCACGTTAACGCAGCACGTTAACGTCGATAATGGCCCACCACTATATTGAACACATCAAAACATATTTCTAAAGGTGCCGTTTGGTAACGACCAAAGAAATCCATATATGCAAAGAAAACTAAACTAATTAGTTATGTGTAATAAAATAAAATGACGCGGAGAAAAAGTCTTAAACACATGAAGAAAGGCAGATGTAGTTCGGCAGTGAAGGCTCAGACAGCAGCTGAAATCTCTCAGTTGTTCTTCAGCAACACTCTGCCCTTCCTCAGTGTAAATGAAGATCAGCTGCTTCAGTCCAACATCTACATTAACAGGATGAAAGCAGGGTGGACATTTCAGCAAGACAATGACCCAAAACACAGCCGAGGAGATTCTCAAATGCTTTCAGAGAAAGAAAATCAAGCTGTAGAATGGCCCAGCCAATCACCTGATCCGAATCCAATAGAGAATACAGAATAAAGCTCAGATTTGACAGACGAGACCCTGATAGACTTTGACACAATCCACATTGTGTAAGCGCTATACAAATAAAGATGAATTGAATTGAATAGTGCAGTGTTTTTAAAGCTGCTCTGAATAATTATTGTACAAAAAGCTCTATACATATAAACTTGAATGGAATATTGTGCAGCCCTAGTAAATAGAGTAAATATTGAGCCCCTGTTCATTTTTGGGTGAACTATCCCCTTAATTGTGGTTAGGTGCTGCAGGGCCACGGCTGTCTTTTACACAAGTGCATCTCTGTTCAGTGTGTGAGAGTTTAATGACGCTGAGCTCTTTCAGAAGCTGATTTACTCTGATTGAATCCACTTTGACTGATCTGCGTGTCCAACAGAGATATTCATTCATTCATTTTCCTTCGGCTCAGTCTCTGAGTGCATATATATCTATATATATATATATATGTGTGTGTGTGTGAATGATAATGTATTTCTCAGTACTGGCTTGTGGCTGGAAGGGCATCCGCTGCGTAAAACATATGCCATAATAATTGGCGTTTCATTCCACTGTGGTGATCTCTATGGCCAAGTTAGTTCATCAATTCCCCTATGGCGCATGTGTTTGGACTGTGTGGGACACCGGAGCACCCGGAGGAAACCCACGCCAACATGGGGAGAACATGCAAACTCCACACGGAAATGCCAACTGACCAAGCCGGGACTCAAACCAGTGACCTACATGCTGTGAGGCAACAGTGCTCACCACTGAGCCATCATGCCACTCCATCAGAGATATTTTCATTAACCTCAGCGTATGATCTGTGTCCGGTCATCAATAGTCAGTTCTGCTCCAGTGTTCCAGCCACAGGTTTTCTTTCAGCTTTAAGAAAATGAAAGCAGCAGTTCAGGCTCTCTGCAGTTTGCTCTGATCACGCTGCTGTCCGTTATAAAGGAGGATTCGGCCCATTTCTGTGCTCTGAGTTAATCAGATTATTCTGCTTAAAGCTCTTTTTGTTTGTTGACTTCTTCACCAAAGCCAAAGCAGATTCATGCTGCATGCACATACCATTATTAAACTCTCTCTATGCTATAAAATTGGTCAAATTAGTAGTAAAAAGGAGTGAAGTGTTGAAAGTTTAATATGGTAATAACATTCACATGTATATGGTTTGAAAGAATGTTTGTATTTGTATGTATGTGTTTGTCTGGTTGTCCATCTCAGAATGTGTCTGTGTGTTAATAATGACATTATTTTAATGTTATTAGGGTTATATATGATGATATAATGTACTATGGAATAACAACACTGAAATAATACTAATATTAATTTAACAGCGTTTAAACACTTTTACATTTCATTTTAAAGTGGTGATTGTGACTTTTTATCCCACAGTTTGTTTGTTTTTTGGTGTGTAATTGTGAATTTCTTGTCCTCCCCCATTGGAAGTCATTTTTATTCTTTTTTTTTTGCCATAATAAAATTTTATTTTGTTTTCAGTTTGTACACATTGAACACTTTACATGCATTCTTAAACTTGCTTGCTTTACAAATTATATGAAATAAAAGGAGGCGAGGCAGTGGCGCAGTAGGTAGTGCTGTCGCCTCACAGCAAGAAAGTCGCTGGGTCGCTGGTTCGATCCTCGGCTCAGTTGGCGTTTCTGTGTGGAGTTTGCATGTTTTCTCTGCGTTCGCGTGGGTTTTCCTCCGGGTGCTCCGGTTTCCCCCACAGTCCACAGACATGCTGTACAGGTGAATTGGGTTGGCTAAATTGTCTGTAGTTTATGAGTGTGTGTGTGGATGTTTCCCAGAGATGGGTTGCGGCTGGAAGGGCATCTGCTGCATAAAAATGAGCTGGATGGGTTGGTGGTTCATTTTGCTGTGGCGACCCCGAATTAATAAAGGGACTAAGCCGACAAGAAAATAAATGAATGAATAAAATAAAAGGATATAAATATATTTATATATTTATAGTCTTTTTTTTCCTCTTTTTTAAATATTTTGCAAATCATGTCTAATAATATTTTTTCTAATAATTTTATTTGTTTTATTTTGGCTTGATTAAAAGTAGTTTTAAATTTTTTAAACACCATTTTAAGGTCAATATTATTAGCCTCTTTAAGCTAATTTTTTTTCTTCGATAATCTACAGAACAATCCATCATTATACAATAACTTGCCTAATTACGCTGTACTGCCTAGTTAACCTAATTAACCTAGTTAAGCCTTTAAGTGTCACTTTAAGCTGTATAGAAGTGTCTTGAAAAATTTCTAGTCAAATATTATTTACTGTCATCATAGCAAAGATAAAATAAATTGGTTATTAAAGCAATTATGTTTAGAAGTGTGTTGCAAACAATCTTCTGTCTCTTAAATAGAAATTGGGGAAAAATAAAAGGGGGCTAATAATTCTGACTTCAACTATATATATATATATATATAATATTATAATATATTTATATGATATAGATGTATAGATATTTATATATATACAGTTGAAGACAGAATTGTTAAGCCCCCCTATTATTTGCCCTCCTGTTTATTTTTTTCCCTGATTTCTGTTTAGCGGAGAGAAGATTTTTTTTCCACATTTCTAAACAATAGTTTTTGTAACTCATCTCTAATAACTGATTTATTTTATCTTTGTCATGATGACAGTAAATAATATTTGACTAGATATTTTTCAAGACACTTCTATACAGCTTAAAGTGACATTGAAAGGCTTAACTAGGTTAATTAAGTTAACTAGTCAAGTTAAGGTAATTAGGCAAGTTATTGTATAATGATGGTTTGTTCTGAAGACTTAAGGGGCTAATAGTTTTGACCTTAAAATGGTTCATAAAAAATTAAAAACTGCTTTTATTCTATCCAAAATAAAACAAATAAGACTTTCTCCAGAAGAAAAAATATTATCAGACATACTGTGAAAATGTCCTTGCTCTGATAAACATAATTTGGGAAATATTAAAAAAAGAAGAAATAAATCAAAGAGGGGCTAATAATTTTAAAGGAGGGAAAGTAGGGTTGTGTGGGGGGGTTTCTTCAATTCAATTCAATTCAGCTTTATTTGTATAGCGCTTTTGCTATGTAGATTGTGTCAAAGCAGCTTCAGATAAATGGTCCTAGTAACTGGAACTGTGTAGTTCAGTTTTTAGTGTTTAAGTTCAGTTCAGTTTAGCTCAGTTCAGTGTGATTTAAAATCATTACTGAGAGTTCAAACACTGAAGAGCAAATTCATTGATGCGCAGCTCTACCGATCCTGAACCATGCG